AATTTACCTTCTATATGTGAAACAACTACATATTTCTGATCTTGTTCTTTCAAATTAAGGAGATGTAACAACATTGTAAAAGTATCAAATTCATCATAAATCCTTATACCCCAAAATCTACCAATAGTATTATAGAGGTTTTTTTTTTATTTAATATTGTGGAAATTTCTTTGCAATAAGATCAAATTGTTGCCCAGTACTCAGCTGGCCAACTGTAGTATAATTCTCAATTTTGTTTAAAATAGCTTGTAGGAATTGTAAATGTTTCAGGGCTAGTTCTATAGTCTCCAGATTACATATATGTTTGTGCTTATTTACTATCTTAGTAATGTTTATAATGTTTGTATATTTACTACAATAGAAGGAAACTAGCCATTTACAACCAGTTTTACCAAAAACACCATGATGTTTATCAATATTCTCTACTTTCTTCGATTTGTTTTTACCAAACTTCCAACAGGCATAATCACGGCGATGAATAATAAATCTATCAGTTGGATCAAGATCTTTGTGATACTTAATAGCAACAAAACCCTCTTGCTTTGCATATGCATCAACTGCATATTGTACGGCACTCCAATTATTAAAAGAATCTTCTACTCATAATTGAATTATTTGACTATTATTTATTTGATTTTCATTAATGTTTACATCATTGTCAGACATAGAATCCTCAGAAGGCAAATTACTAGCGAACCCAAAATCAGAGCAATTACTATCTATCTCAAAATTTATAAGACCAGACCTATTACTATCCACCTTAAAGTTCATAGAACCAGACAAATTACTGTTTACTTCAAGGTTCTCAAGACTGGACAACTTCTTATTTTCAAGAACAGACAATTTCTTATTTACAAGACCAGACAACTCCTTATCTACAAGATCAGAAAGCTTATAATTTGTAGGACCAGGCTACTTATAGTTTACAGAACTAGGCAACTTATTTGTAGAATCAGGCAACTTATTCATAGAACTAGGAGACTTATTTGTAAAACCATAAAACTTATTTGTAGGACTAGAAGACTCATTTGTAGGACCAGACAACTCATTTGTAGAACCAGACAACTCAGAATTCGCAGAAACAGACACCTTATAATTCATAATGGAAGTTACTAGAAATAGTTCCAAACTCAGAACCCCTAACACCAGAAAAAAAACTTTCTAATTCATAATTTATAGAAGCAGGAAAGTTTTTCTTTAATCTGGCAGACTTTCCCTTCTCCATTTATTATTATGTTAAAGATGTAAAGAAAGACTAGTTAGTATCTTTTAACAATAAAAGAATCACTTAAAACAAGTATAATATAGTGCCTTGAGTTTTTTTTTGAAATTAACAATGCCTATTTAACTTACATTATATCTTGAAATTTAACAATATACAAAAAAATTGAACGAGAGACGAAAGTCGGTTGAATTCTGCAATTCTTAAAATTCTATTTAAGTTATATATATACATAAGTAAATATTCATTATTTGTTATAAAATCATATTGTACAATACCTGCAATGTAATGAAGACAAGAGTTAGAATAGTTGCAAAGTTAAAGACAAATATTATCACTATCATCATTATACTATATTAATATGTTATTATGAGGTTACACATTTGGAATTACACATAATGATTATGAAAATCACCAGTGGTGATAAATAGTAATATTATAAAAAAATATATATAATTAAATAAAAAAAAATAAATTAAATTAAATAAAAAAAAATTAAATTAAAGTAAATTAAACAGAAGTCGAGACTCAAGTTTTGTAAAAAAAAAAAATAGAAAGACCCAAGCTAAACTAATTGAAGAAGAGACGCAAAAGCCTTAGAAGACCAAGATCAGAAATATGTAGTTGTTTCACATATAGAAGGTAAATC